CACCAGAGATGGATCTAACAGTGGAATAGGAATTTTTACTGAGGCTTGTCTTGCGGTGGATCACACAAAGATGCACTGATGAGCCAAATCCATCGCCATATTTTTCAACGAACTGGTGTGGATAACTTGGAAGGCATGTGATTAAGTGAAAATGATATTTAACTGCTATTGGAGAATGTAAGGAATCATTACTTTTGCGAGTGGTGGAAAAGGCTGCTGATCTAAGCGAATTTGATAAGAGGGCAGATTGTAATGGCCCGAAGACACGGAAGGAGCATCTCCGAAACTGCACGACTGGTAGGTTGTTCACAACCTGCCGATGTTGGTATTTATGCAAAGTGGATAAATGAGGTAAAACCAGGAATAGAAGCCAAGTTGTTTTATATCTACGCGTCATAAAAAAAAAGAACCTCGGAGGCTGTCCCACTTGGTACAGCAAAATCGGTGCCAGACAGTGGGTCAAGGCCCAATATAATGCAAGTTGAAGTGCAACTGTTTGGGAACGCGCAGTTTAGCGGACTTGTTGGATATGGGACTCGTGTGCCACTTTTGACCAAGCGTCACTGTCAACTACTGGTACAGTGGGCCCGGGAGCATCGAGACTGTTCCGTCGATGATCGCGTCAGAGTACGGGCGTCTTCCAGGCGAACAGTTGCCCCCTTCCCTGTATAGCAGATAAAATACTGGCTGGTGGTGGCGGTATTATGCTCATAAGGGACGTACACATGGTCGGCTCTGGGACCCTCAATTGTAGTAGAACAGACCATTAAAGCTGCGGACTATCTGAACATATTTTTGGATCCGTTGCACCCTTACATGACGTCTGTCTTCCTAAATGGAAGTGGAATCTTCCAGCAGGGCAACCTTCGAACTGTGTTTGAGTGGTTTGAAGAACACAAGGATTGAATTTCAATATCCTGTCTACCAAACGCACTAGATTTTACCCGATAGAGCACATTTGGGATGTCACAGAGCGGCAGCTCTGACACCACGATGTCGAAATATCTCAACTTTACGTGACTACTGCTTGAACATTTGGTACAACCTGTCTCCAGTCATCTACCAGGAACTTGTGCGTCCATGCCAAGATGACTTGCACCTGTTTTTCAGGCCAAAGGTTGCGCAACGCGTTATTGAGTAGGTGGTTATAATGTTTTGGCTCTTCAATGTAAATTAAAGTGTGCAGTCCCTTCCTAAGTCGCAGTCTTCGAGGTGTGGGACGACATGCTTTGACATTGCAGCAGGAATAAGTAGCTCAGTCGCCACTTGAAATTACAAGTTTCATACTTTCACGGCCAGTGCCATTGGATTTTAGCTATCTGCACTGTGTCTGTCATCAGAGCTTCTCGATTTCAGGGGGGGGGCGAAGACAAATGATCCTGTAGCTGTTCCGATATCGTTTCCACTATAATAAATCACAGGACGTAAAATATAACCTAAAAATAAAAAGGACGTGAATAATTCAGTTTGTAAACTGTTCCTGAAAACGTAAGTAGATAAAATGCTCTGAGACTGGACTAGAGAGACACTTCCCGCTAGCAAGATACGAGTATATTACGAGGACAGTAAATTTACTTACAATTAATTTATTCCTTAGCATTCAATATTAATTGTCATTACTGTCAGGGCTTAATTTCTAAGATTAGAAGTGCAGGAGACCTATGGAAGACCGTCAGCAGTGAGAGTAAATAAATAAATAAAATGACTATTAAACTCATTAATAAATTTAAAATTAAATAGTTAATTATTATCAAATTAATTAATAGCTATTTAATTAATGTTTATAAATTTTTATTAATCCATAATTATTATTATTAATTACAATTTAATGATAATTATTAGATAATTAATTATTATTTATTGAAATAATTAAAGGTTGAAGTAATTAACTAATTAAAATTAAATAAAATGCAAAGAGATAAATGGAAATTTAACACGCGATTTTTAATATAATTTTATTGTTCAAATAAAATTTTCGAGATAAAATTTCTACTGAAATTGTTATTAATTACATAAAAGTGCCGCAGCGTTCTTATTCAGGGCACCGGTGCGTTCCTTCTAGAATTATGATTAATTACAAAAACTAAAGCACCGAAGCAGAGATCCGGTGGGTTCCGGCCCAATTTAAGTTCTGATCTTAGGGTGGAGGGAGTTCTTTTATCATCACAAAAATTAAATAAACTTAAAGTATAGCTGATGAAAATTCCAAGGTGAAACAGAATGAGGGTATGAGTGGCTGGAAACAAAAAATGAGTGGAGTCTTGGTGAGAGAGAACGTTTTCTTTGATCGCGGCTCTCTGTTGATATAATTATAGCCATCAAGCAGATGGGTGTCAGGGGTAAACGAACCGTACTCCTAAACGTAAAGCTGCTGGTTACATCCCCCCCCCATTAGTGGATACTTTGGGAAGACGGTATATAGGACGTGCTTGAGCAGTTTATCTCAGTATTTCACTCTTATTGTACTCGCTGTCACTTAACGCACATTTAAGAACACAAATTTTCCTTCCTGGGAGTATAACTAACTGTAACAATACACTAGATACGATGACATGGCGAGAAATTTAGCCGTTCCTAAACAAACTCCCCCAAATTTATTGCCCTTCTTAAAGAGAAAGGTTTCCACAAGTGAGTGAAGGGGCTTTACTTGAACGTCTCATGTTCTCATGAGTTCGTATTTCTAGGGAAATAGAGTATTGCAAAGTCTGCTTATTGTTAAACTAAAACGTTAGGAATTCTAAATTTTTTCCCTTTAAATTATGGCTCAGTTTTAAGAAAAGAAGTACTGGAGCTCATCTTATTTAGGGCTCCGGCGCAATTTAAGTACTGATTACTCTGTTGCGAAGAAATCTCTCTTCTCTATCCAGTTTTTCCGTTAAATGATCTAAGATAAGACGTTTTGTGGGTATAAGTACTCGCCTGGGTCTGCTTTTAAGTCGAAGATGCTTTTAATTCAGGTTAAAATAACACGCCAAATAATGATTACGGAAGCAGTCAAACAACAATAATCAATGCAATATTTTCCAATTTTTCAGGTCTAGTTTCGATACTTACTTAACTGACTAGAGAATCATCTCCTCACCTGCCTAAGTTCAAATGAACGAGATAAGATATGGTGATAAAATAATATGAGAATGGCTGGGCAGAAGATGCACTTAATGTTGATTTTTGCGTTCACTGGTCTTTGAGATTCCAAGCTCTGAAGCATTCTATGGTGAAATATTCCCTTTCCATATCCATAATCTCTGAAATTATTCGCGATTACAGCAAAATGTTCATCCTCTACTTGCAGACTCGGTCGGATACCGATTTCAAAACTCAGCTATAAATCGATATTCCTAATACTCAAAAACACAAATACTATACTATGTATTAAAAAACACACTTTTCATTTTTTGCAACGTTTATGTTTTAAACATCTAACTACGAATATGAGGACAACTGTCATTAAATTAAAAACATTAGAATACTCTTTTTCAATTGCCAGACTCAGAATTGCAAAGTTACAAACGTTAAACACAACAATACAAGTGAATAAATTTAATACTTAGTTTTCTATAGACTCAGGAAGGAATATATCATTAAGTTTATTTTGTCAGTTAAGTGAGTTTATACTATTTTTAATCAGAACTATAGATTCGGATTGAACATTGTGAATTGTTCATTCTGTCAATATTGGCTCTGAGCAGAGCTTGAATTGCCCAGGAGTCCATCGGAGGCCGGCTTCCGTACTTCTTAGTTTTTAGAACAAATCATAATTCTAGCCGGAGCGAACCGGAACCCTAGATATGAAGGCTCCAAATTAAGCCCTCCTTTGAGACTGTCAATTCTTACTGTTGTGCGTAGATGATTAGATTATTAAAAGCGTAGATGATTTAAAGTCTGATTAATTTTTAAGTGTCAAAAATGAGTGAGTTTTTGTTTCCAGTTCTGCTTGACTTGAATATTTCAGTTTATGTGACAGTACAGTTGTCTTTAAGAATAGCTGTAATTTTATATATTTTTTAATTCATTTGTTTATTTGTTGTATTTTAATAATGTTCTGAGATATATTTCTATGTAATTGAATCTGTGGCCAAGTATTGTATCTGTAGGTGTCTATTTATTTTATAATTTTAGATATTGTGATTTTGAATCAAACAAAAATTAGATTTTGGCGATGGCTGAATAAGAAGCTGAGATATAGGCAAATTCTCTACTGGTGGATCTTGGCGACGATTTTTGTCGTCGTGGTAATATTTGGCGTTTTCTTCCCAACATGCGACTTTCTGGTCGTTTCCGTAATATGTTTTTAAAGACGTTGGAGTCATTTTCCAGAAGGCGGCCAACACTATATCAATGTAGCTCCGAAAGCCAATCATCTGTTACTTGAGAACCACTTGTGAAAGACTAGGGTAATACAAAGATTTAGGCGAGTGAATCGGCTACTCATGTTATTTTAGTATTTTTCCAGTTTCTTCCTGTGCATAAGTGATACTTCACAGTATTTAATTAAAATTACTTCCTTTCTCGTATGGGGTTACTTGTGCAATTACCTCAACAAAGAAATATGCAGCCTTCTCTCCATTTCTGAACATATCTTTACAACGAACAATTAGAAATATGTAAACTACATCGGAGTTAGGTATTTGTCTCGTGGATGACTGTACAGGCATCCCCGTTGATTCATAATATTGTCCGAAAACTTTTATTTCTCAGTGTCATGTTTAAAGTAAATTTTTATTTTGACGTAAGTACAGGCGATTGTTGCAAAGTGTCCGTTCTTCGAATCGTTCGAACAAAATCACGAAAGATTCTGATTTCTGTAAGTCTCTAAGTGAAAATAACGTAATAGTCTAAAAATTTGAGAAAGTATTAACTTTTTTTATCCCTTATTATAAGGACTGATTTTCTTTAATAGAGATTCCCGAGGTTTTAATTAAGGTGCTATTTATTTTCAGTAAAGATGAAAGTATAAATGAAATGAAATGAAATGATTTGAGTAAAAACCGGATGTTTCTTATTTCAACTTCCGCTTTCCGGTAAGCGTGCTATCTCATCCTGTGACATTGGTGAATGTTTAGTAAGTATTTGGATTGTTTAATGAATACGATTGTTTGTAGTAAACAGGTATTTTTATATGTATGCTTTAGAAGTTTTCTTGCGTACATGCGTATGAAATTATCATATAAAACACGTGTCTATAAATGTATGCATTTGTAAAACACGTGTGATTTTGAGCACCTAAAAGTATCCTCCTTATACTGTTCGTAGTGTTTGTGTATAAGCATACTATAATGCCAATTAAAAATATTTCGGATTATTATACTCACTTTAATAAGAACGAGGTATTGGTTTATTTTCGGAGTGCTGTTGCGACACCTGTGAGAAAACGAATTTGTATTACTTTAACGATTGTTTTCTTGTTTTTTGTGCTATTTGTGTGCGTTTTTGCCGAAATGAAATCTGGAAACTATCGCGTTCGTAGAATGGTCGAAGAACCTAAATATTGGGTACCTATCGAAGACGCGGTTAATATAAGTGTTGATCCTTGCGTCGACTTTTACGACTTTGCTTGCGGTCGGTGGCCAGAAAGTAAACTTGTACCGAGTTATGAACCACATGTTACTTCATTCAGTATTCTGGAAGATTTTGTTGATAAGAAAAAGAGAAATGTGTTCCAGAATTCCAAAGCAAGCAGTAAGTTTCCTCGTGTTGTGAATCATGCACTTCAGTTTTACAAATCTTGTATGAATTTCAATGCTACAGATAGCATAGCTATAAATTATTTGAGAAAGTATTTTAAAGGAATGGGTGGATGGCCAATTTTGGAGGGTAAACTATGGGATGGAAGTAAATTTGATCCAGTAAAAGCGAGTGCCTACATTATGAAAACTTTATCTACTTGTACTTTTGTCTGTGTGTATTCTTCAGTCAATGATAGCAATACAAGCCAAGATGTAATTTATTTACGGTCTCCTTCTCCAGAAGCGAAAAGTGCTGTTACTGATTCTCTTGTCATACAGATGCTGTATTCAATCATATATGTTTTAAATGGTTCAGAAATTGATGTCAGTCAGTTTTTTAATGATGTGCAAAAGTTAAAGAAGGCAGAAATGAAATGGAGGACATTTTTCTCCAATAAAACTTCTGATCCAGTTACTATGACATTCAAAGATTTAAACAGAAAAATTCCTGGTATTGATTGGTTATATTACATCCAGTTAGTAACAAATGAAACGTTAAGTAAAATAAATGAAATAGTTACTGAAGATGATTTAGTTGTTATTGAAAATCTAAAATATTTGGAAAATATTGCACATGTTTTACAGTCGGGTATGTTTACTAAATCTGATTTGGCAAATTTGTTTGGATGGTATGCTATTTATGATTTATGGATTTTAATTCCAGGAGTTGCTGAGGCATATTCATTAATAAATAACTTTAATCTAGCAGATTTAGAAGACCTCTTTCAAACTAAATGCTTTGATAAAGTATTTGAAATTTATGAATGTAGTATCGACTACTTGTATGTCCAAAATACATCTCGTCTTAAAATTGTAAACAGCTTAGTTCTTCTTCATTACCTTAAAAATTCATTTACTGACATTATTCAACAATCATTTTGGCTAGATGATGATACTAAGAATGCTGCACTTTTGAAACTAAACTCTATGGAAAGTATTGTAGGTTTTCAAAAACATCTTAGTAATAAAACTCTATTTGATAAAATTTATAGTAGCTATCCTGACCCAACTTCTTGTGTCTTGGAAACCTATTTCAAAATCTCGCAGTATCAGTTTTCTCTTTCGGTATTAAATATAAAGGCTAAAGAGAATTATTATTGGTTTCTCCCAAGATCAGTTACTCAGGTTAGCGCATATTATGTTTTACAAAAGAACACTGTAGTGTTTCCAGTCTCTGTGCATAACCCACCATTTTACTATACTCATGGACCATGGTATTTAAATTTTGGAGCCATAGGATCTATTATTGGTCATGAACTAATGCATGGTTTTGATTATAATGGATGCCAGAGAGACAAAGATGGTATTATCAGTAATTGGTGGACCAATGCTTCTACAGACAGCTTTCAAAAGCACCTGAAATGTTTCAAAAATCAGTTTAAAGTTTATCACAATGTAAGTGATCACTTAAAACACGACGAAATGTTAACTCTAAATGAAGATATTGCTGATAGTGAAGGCCTGAGAATTGCTTATAATGCATTCAAGAAATGGACAAAAGATCATGGTCCAGAAGAGAAGTATCCAAATTTAAGTAAATATACACCGGAACAGATGTTTTTTATTGCATTTGGTTCAATGTGGTGTTCTAAGATAGATTACAATATGCGTGCTGCTTTAAGTAAAGTGTCGCATAGTTTACCCGAACTTAGAGTTATGGGCTCTGTTTCAAACTCAGAAGCTTTTGCTGAAGCTTTTCACTGTCCGAAAGGTTCACCAATGAATCCAGCTACAAAGTGTTCTATATTTTAAATTTTATTTTCAAATACAGAGAACAGCTTGTGTATATGACCTCGTTGGCAACCCTCCCCCCCCCAAAAAAAAAACATGAAGTCATAAGAGAACATCTTTTTAAATTTTTTTATCTTAAGCATTTGGTTAAAGAACTTAAAATATATGTTTAAGTTAAAAATGATGAGAAAATGCACATGCATACACAAAACAAAATTTAAAAAAATGAAGGAAGTAAATAAAATCAAGAAATTAGCAATTTAGAAAAAAATAAATAAATAAAACATTGCTGGTAAATTTAATAAGATATTTTGAATTCGTTTTAGACTTCTCACATACAAATTAAAAAAAAAAAAAATTAAAAATCAGTTGCTAATCTTGGCACTAATGTAAAATAAACAACCTGTTAGTTATCCCACTTTTTCCAAAGTCTTCCTCTCATTTCAAAATAAATTTAAATTCCTTCTAACACTCCCTGAAATTTCTCTACTACACTTAAAACTGAAGGCATGGGAAAATTTGCTCACTATTGTCAAACTGAAATATTCTAGAATATGCTGAGTTACCAGAAAGACCTCTGAAAAGTGCACCAAATGTAAAAATCATCAATGGAGTCCTACATTCAAGCTGTATGAAATGCAGAGTGCCCTAATTGTCAAAAGCTTTGTATGAAGTTTAACACGGAAATTTGTCAGTCAATGCAGTTAACCATTTCCATATCAGAAGCATTTTATTGAATTAAAGCTTCTATGTTTTCATATGTTTTGTTTAGCATTTATTTATTTTTCACCAAAGATTAAATTATCATATTAGAAATTAGAGAATTATTAGCTAAGTATTATTAAGATAAGTATTATTTGCATTTGCAACAGAATTATTTGAAAAAATATTGGTTGAAATTACAATATTTTTTTTAACATTATGGTTTAGAACTTTTATCACTTAAGCATATCACAGCTTTATTGTCATGTGTAAGAATTGCTAATCATGTCATCAAAGGATGTGCCAAATTATTTAGAGTCGCAATTTTTAAATATAATTTATTGCCTTATATGTTTTAGAATGTAAGATAAATAGAATTTTCCATATTTTTGTACAAATTTTTTTTACATTAGCATCATATTGTACTTAAAATCTATGGTGCTGAAAAAATTTTTGTGTAATGTTATGACTAATTTTTCTAACACAGCATGTTTGTTTCCAGAAGTGTTAATTTCAAACTGTACAAGTTATTGTATAATCCATGGTACTTCCTTGTTAATGCAGCAACTGCCGTTAGTTGCCAAATTTTACAAACTTATCTATGCTGTGCAAATTTCAAATGTTGCCAAAGGTTGCTTTAACAAGGAAGTATGTAATCAACATATACAGCTCATTACATTGTTGAATAAAAATAACTTGTGGTCCTTTAGTTTTATGTTTATTTGTATTTATTTAAATAACTAGCTGCGATAAGAATTACTTTGCTATTTTGATTTTATTGGCATATTTTTGTAGGAATTCAGCATGGTGAATCTTTAGTGTATGGTAATTTGGTAAAAATTTGACAACCAAGCCAAATTTTTCTACCATTTTTTCCCCTGTTTTTGATTCTCAGCTAACTGCATTTCTGCTAGAATTTTTCCATTTTCTTACAGTTTCATCTTTGCCTTTGAAATAGAAATGAAAAATACATCTTAAAATGTTTCAGTATATTAGCTAAAATTTTATCTCTGAAATAGTGGAATGTATAGAAATACATTTTCTACAAAGTAAGATTTTTAATAACCTTTAGCTTAAATTAGAAGAATTCATTAAAAAACACTGTGAAATTACACTGAATTTTTGAATTTGAAAGAAAAGAGATACATTTTTCAGAGGTTAATTAATAAAATGCCCAATCACAGTGTGCATATATCCCTTACAAGGATAAAATATATATGTATGTACATATAAAATAATTAAATAAGCTATAAAAGAGATTAGAATAAAAAATTTATGACAGCAGCATTTATGACAGCTTTCAAATGTTGGGGCATAGAGTTCACCAGTTTCTTTTGCAATATCTAACATCAGTGTTCCATCATTACTGTTTTTAGTTTTGTTTTAATCTAGTGTCTTCAGACTCTAGATTCTAATTCTCTCCAGAAGTGTTATGTTGGGTTTAAACTTAGTGACTGAGGTGGTGTTTTTCAGAACTTGTGGACAATTATAGACACCCAAAAGGCGAACGTTGAGGGCCATGTGCTTAGAATCATTATCCTGATAAAAAATAGTTTCCAGTACAGTCAAAAGTCGTTAATCTGGATTAGTCGGGACTTCGGCGATTCCGGATTATCGATTTTTCCGGATTATAGATCATCAGTTTAAATCTCGTAAGATGGCATGCAGAAATTCTGAAATTAAAAATATGAAACTGTAATTTATGAAATAAAGGACAATTATGATCTAAAGGGTATCAAAATTTACAAAAAAAAAAAAAAAAAAAAAAAAAAAAAAGCTTAATATTTATTTGTTTACTTTATTAAACATTTCTTTCAATGTAAGTTGTTTAAGTTGCTTCGTTTTATGTGATAATACTTTCTCTTTAATTCTATAAACAGACATAATTTCTTGTTCAGTTACAAAGTTCCGCTGTTCAAGTCCCATAATTGCTGTGCCGAGAATACCGACTAACTTGTCAATCGAAATTTTTTTGTTTTCACTAACCTCTCTGTCACCTTCTTCATGTCTTTATCCATTTTTTGCAGCAATTCCACTTTTTGTTTGATGGACATCGAAACATACTTTCGTTTTGTAGATCCTTTGGGAGCTCCAGCATCGGACATTCTATTTGACATAATCGAAAGTTCAAGTTTACTTTTATAAAATTGCTCTTACAGTCTGCAAAAAATAATAAGCCTGATCCAATTCAAAGATTAAGGAACAACGCAATCATCAACATTAACTGAAATAGATAATTTTAGCTTATACCGTCCGTTATACGTTAAACGCGCAGGCAAAAACGTATTCTGCGCTTGTGCACACCCATATGCGCTGTCGTAAAGGTCTTACGTGCACGCGTAAAACGCCTGTGCGCATGCGTCAACGCGGCGCATGCGCAGAAAGTTTTTAGCTTTGAGGTCTGGATTATAGATCATTCCGGATTATGGGTGTCCGAATTAACGACTTTTGACTGTATCTAAATTTTGGGCGGATAATTTTAAGTTATCTTTTTAAAATATTTAAATAAAGGGCATGGTTTATTGTGCCATCAATAAATACTAATTTATTTAATCCTGATACTGACATGCGCCTTCACATAAGAATACCTCCAATGCCATGCTTTGCTCTACCAACCAAGGTCGTGAAATTAAGCTACTCGTTTCATTTTTTCGTCCATCGGACTCAAAAATGTTAAATTTGCTTTCATCTGCAAATGAGACATGATTCTAATACACTTTGGGCTTATTTACCATTGATTTTGAGAAGAAAGCTTAAGCTTTCTATTTTTTTCACTTCCAAAAAATTTTCTTCAAGCAGAGTGCCCATGTAACCCAGTTTATTTGAGTACTTAAACAGTTTTAAGTGAAATTGAGGTAGAAAATTTTTCAGCAAATTCTGTAAAAATCTTTAAAACACTCAAATATAGATTTTTCACTGATTTTCTAACTATAAATCTCCAATCGTGTTGAGTCACGTCAAGTCCTCTTTGCTGGACAACCAGTTCTTACTTTATTTTGTATCCGATTTTTGTCTTTAAAGCATTTTATCACATATTACAGCATGAAATGGGATAAATTTACTACTTTAGCAGTATCCCGAATTCTCATCCGTGCGATAAATTTTCAAATGTTGTTTCTTGTTTCCTTACGATTATGAGCTGTCTTTTATTTAAATAAAATATAATGAAGTAAGTAAGCAAAAAATAAAGCTAAACAATTTTTTAAATGCCACCAAAATGCAAAAATAAAAAAAAGAATTGGTAGACAATTTTACTAATGAAATTTTGCGAAAATGTTTTGGTGTACGATCACTTTTGTGGTGTATTTTATCTATGCCTCCTTATATTTTCAGTTTTGAAACAGAAAATAAGTCGGTATTAAGAATTAAATATTTTGGTTTTATTCAAGGTCGCATCATGGAGATGATATGAAAAAATAATGGGCATTATATTCAAATTCAATTCGGGATTATGGCATTTTTTCTGGAAATTCTCAAAGTGTGCGAACACTTTGAGAGACACTGTAAGCGTTTTTTGTGAGGCACTGTAAATTAAAACGAGCATTATTGTTCCAGTGGCTCTCTTGGACTGGATTTTTTCAATAACTTTGAGGCTTAAATGGTTCATACAATCAGCTGGAAATTAATAAAATTACTATTTAGTTGTATTGGTAAGGGACAAATGCTGTATCAGTGCTAAATAACAACAAATTACTGTATTCTCAATTTTGTAAAATTAGGAATATTTAAAAATTAAGAAATAATTCTATGGGGGGGGGAAATTAAAACTTTTCAAAAGGGTTATGGATGGTGTTTATTAGGAGTTAGGATTACTAAGAGAGAGTTCACTGTATGAATTAAATAATTTATTCCCTTACTTTTATTTGAAAAAGAATATAAGTACTTCAGATATACAGGTATATCACTGTGCATTTTAAATTTTTGTCACACCTTTCCAATTAACATATCCATTATTATTATTTTTTAATTATGTTTAATTTAAAATTTAATTGCTACTAAAATTATCTTATTAATTGATTTTTTTTTTCAGTTGTAAGATGCTGTTGCTAGTCAGATGTACTATGTACTTATTTTTAGTAGTATCAGCAACATAATGCAAAATGTTGATTCTGAGAAAATTAAATATATGAAATAAAATGCTCAAATACCTTTGACAAATACTTTTTAATAATTGACTTTGATTTATTAACTGCTATAGTATATGTTTTATTAATAATTTGGAAAAATGAATTACCTTTGAATAACTGATAATTCAGAAGAATTAAGATGCATTCAGTTGGAAGTAATGCTGTGTTTATATGAAAAAATAGTACCTTAAAATCAAAGAAATGCATTAAAAAAACTAGTAAATAAAACCCTTTTCTCATCTTCCAAAGCAGTCTTTCATCCTCTCTTTGAAACAATTAGAAGGATTTTCCTTTTTTATTATATCCCCTCTTTAAGCATTTGTGTTGAATGTGTGATGTTCGGCCTATTTATTTATCTTTTAGGAAA